CTGTCTTTAGCTGAGTGTGTAAGTGTTGCTCTGTCTTTAGCTGAGTGTGTAAGTGTTGCTCTGTCTTTAGCTGAGTGTTTTAGTGTTGCTCTGTCTCCAGCTGAGTGTTTTAGTGTTGCTCTGTCTTTAGCTGAGTGTTTTAGTGTTGCTCTGTCTTTAGCTGAGTGTTTTAGTGTTGCTCTGTCTCCAGCTGAGTGTTGCTCTGTCTTTAGCTGAGTGTGTAAGTGTTGCTCTGTCTTTAGCTGAGTGTGTAAGTGTTGCTCTGTCTTTAGCTGAGTGTGTAAGTGTTGCTCTGTCTTTAGCTGAGTCAGCTGAGTGTTGCTCTGTCTTTAGCTGAGTGTTTTAGTGTTGCTCTGTCTCCAGCTTAGTGTTGCTCTGTCTTTAGCTGAGTGTTTTAGTGTTGCTCTGTCTCCAGCTGAGTGTTTTAGTGTTGCTGTGTCTTTAGCTGAGTGTTTTAGTGTTGCTCTGTCTTTAGCTGAGTGTTTTAGTGTTGCTCTGTCTCCAGCTGACAGTCCAGAGGTTGCTGGTTGGTCTTATCTCACATGTTGGTAATATGAGATCAGGTGTGGTGCAGACTGTTCTGTGGTTCTCTGGATGACGTGTTTATTAGTGGGCGGAGCTTCAGACTGAACTTTGTCTTTAGTTTCAGTTTGTCCTCGGCTGCTCTAGGTATTTAACCCCCACCTGGCTGCAGCAGACGGATCAGACGTCTCCATGGCTCACATGAAGGGTTCTTCCTKGGACTTCCTGTTCACCTCTCTGGGTCTGCCCCTCTTCCTGCTGGACATCGTCCTGGACGTCCTGGCTGCTGTCAGCCTGTATCAGGAGGGGTCCTATGTGTGCCTGGGAGTCCTGCTGCTGCTGCTGATCGGCTCCTCGCTGCTCGCTCAGACCTTCAGCTGGCTCTGGTACTCATATGAAGACTTAGAGATGAACACAGTGGTGGAGCAACGTCTGAAGCCCAACATCTGGACACTGCATGTGTTCCAGCTGGGGATCTACGTCAGGTCAGATCAAAGATTCAAACTCTTTTAAACTCAGGTTTCATTTTGTCTTCTTAGAATTAAACTAGTTTCTGTTCTTCARTGAACCTGAGAGGGTGGAGCTGAACTCCTGCTCTGTCACCAGATATTATGTATAAATATCAGTTTTTGTGGTTTCTGGTCACATATTTCATCATGTGAGGTCATGTATGATGTGTCACTCACTGGTCAGAGGGAACCCCGGCCTCCAGGAGGTTTCTGTTTGAAGGAGACCTCCTGAGCAGCAGCAGCTTCTTTCATCTGGTTTGGTTTCTCTGGTTTTTGGTTCCAGACATGCAGGAGTGTTTGAGACGTCACTGAGGAACTGCTTCTCCCCGAGTCCAAACACCGAGGGACATGCCAACTTCCTGAGCCACGACCTGGCCATGCTGCGGATCATCGAGACCTTCTCAGAGAGCGCTCCTCAGATCGTCCTGATGCTCACCGTCATCATGCAGGAGGGACACCTGGACTACTTCACAGGTACAGGTCCCACAGAGTCCAGGTTCACTAAGTATAAACTAGAATAGTTCCTGGAGAACCTATGAAAGGACTTGCCTCTTGTTGCAGGATTATTTTCAACACAGTTTTGAGGATTTATTCTTGGCTRCCACTCCACCAAATTTCAACTCAATATGACCAAAAATGGCCACGTTATGATAACTTATTCCTTTTGGCTATGGCGGCCATCTTGAATTTTTATTTAGCATTCAGATTTTGTCAAAGCTTGTTCTTTGCTACTAATACATCTGTTGTTGGATTTGTGAGTCTTAAAATGGCTGAACTGGTGCCTTTTTTAAAAAGTAACATTAGCGGTTAGCTTACCTTACATTTAGCATTCAGGATGTGTGGAGTTAGCTCTCAGCTATCAACCCACTAAATTTCAGCTTTGTATGCGAGTAAGCCCTCGCTGCAGCAAAACATAAGGGGCGGGGTCGTGCCCGAGGCCCGAGCCATACCATATATGGACGTAGCTCCATTACACTCCGGAAATGAAGGGGGCGCTATATGATCACTTACAAATGCTTTAACATAGCTGATGTACTTTTTCGTCATATTTTTATTTTTAAAAACGAATATTGAAAATCGATAAACGGGTGTTGGTCCTATTTTTATTTTATACTCCAGAAATAGAAGAACAGTCAATCTTTTTATTTTTTTCAAAATGAAAGTTTAACTCTGCTGTCATGGCAACTCAACAGTGACTTAGTTCCTCCTCTCACTGACCTGTTCAAGTAGGGGGTCTCTGATGACGAGTGGGCGTGTCACAAGGAAAGGTGATTCTAAAGCCACACACCTGATTTGACGGACTTTGTTAAAAGGGACACAACTGACTGGACAAGCAAAAAAGGGGCGATACCGTACGGCACCACCTGATTGGACAAGAACAAAAGGGGCGTTACTGTACGGCACCACCTGATTGGACAAGAACAAAAGGGCGTTACTGTACGGCACCACTTTTTCTGGAGACCCCTACTTGGGTCACATTTCTCCTGGTTAACCTTAGTGTTGGGGTCAGGGTCAGGCTGTAMAGAGGTCAAGCAGGATCTAAGGATACCGTCATGTAGGCCTCGTAGCCCACAGTGTTTATGCTTTAGACACGCCCACTCTTGTGACACGCCCACTTTGATTCCACAGATAACCCCTTCTCGACCTGTTGGAGAAASTTTTTATGTTCCAGAAAACAGTTTTAATCATCAGWGATCAGCTGACAGCTGGTAAAGAAAAATAAAACTAGTTAGCTAACGTTTGTTRTGYTAATGGTTAGCTAGTTATACAGGTCATTTTGATGTTATGAGCGGTGGGATGATAAAAATAAAGTGGATAAACGTTGTATAAAAAATKATATTTTGCTGCAGCGAGGTGTACTTGTTGTATGTCCTAATACTGCTGATCGATCTGGGAGCCATGTTGGATTACATAAAGCCCCTATTTGTTCTGTCACTCAAAAGGCTACTCCGCCCAGTAACAGCCTCAGCCAATCAGAAGGCCCGATTGTGAAGGGGAGGGGCATAACGGATCTGCAGCACTTACAACATGATAAAATCTCTGAAAAGTTTARTTCAAACAAACAGCTGCTGTTTGAAAACKATAAGGTCTATTTAAATAATTCTTGAACGGTGAGCAACAGAAGAGATTGGCTCTTACTYGTGGAAATTTTCAAAATTGTTCAGATCTTTATCTCAGAGATATGATGAGGTAAAATAGTTTTAATTCTGAACCGCTTYGTGACACAAATTTAACATCAAAAACAGGACAAGAAGTGGTACTTCCCTGACTTCTGATACACTGAGAGAAAACCATTTGTCCTACAGCAAAACCATAAATATTGTCTGAAAGGAGACACAAATACCCACGTTTTGATATATAATTTTGTGTGTCATGAAAACTGTGGCTGTAGGAAGTTGTTTTTTAAGACAGCTGTCACTCAGTCAGTTGGAAGCTGAGCCCAACGTGTTCCTATGAGGGTTTCTGACAGTAGTTTGTTGTGAGTTACATCACTGTTGTAACTTGAAACGCCACTGAAGTAAAGCACCCATCCCACTGCTGAGCCGGTGGTTTTGATAAACTCTTGTAGGGGTGAGGGGTTTAGAGACCTTTGTTTGAAGTGGATAACACATCCATTCATATGAATGATGTCTGCTCTCTTGTTTGATACGACAGACACTAAAAACATGATGTTTGAAGCTAAACGTGGACCTGAACACGTCTTGGTTTCATGTTTGTTTCCTGTGTTTGAGTGGAGGCTGGAGGCTCAGCTGCAGTCTGATGTTCTCATCATGTTCCTCCTCCTCCTCAGTGCTGAAGACCGTTGGATCGATGTCGGTGGTGGCCTTCAGCGTCACCACGTACCACCGCTGCCTGCGCTCCTACCTGAGAGAGAAGAAGCAGCAGACCATCGTCTCGTCCGTGGTCTACTTTCTGTGGAAACTGCTCCTGCTGAGCTCTCGACTCGTGGCCCTCTCGCTCTTCACCTCTGTGCTGCCCTGCTTCATCTTCGCCCACTTCTTCTGCTCCTGGCTGGTTCTGTCCTTCGTCGCCTGGAGGTCTAAGACTGACTTCATGAACAGCAGGTTTGGAGAGTGTCTGTTCAGGGTCACAGTGGGCCTCATCTGGTACTTTGACTGGTTCAGTGTGGTGAAGGGCAGGACGAGGATGAAGAGGCTGCTGTACCACAGCTACATGCTGGCTGATATCTGCCTCCTCTGTGGACTCTGGTTCTGGAAGATGAGCACAGATCCTCCTGTCTTTAACATCCCTCAGCCTTATGCTGCCATCGTGGCCTCCAGTGTGGGCGGAGTTTATGTCCTCGGCCTGGTTTTAAAACTGATTTATTATAAATACTTCCATCCAAACGTGCAGAAAGAGGAGCTGAGAGGAGGCAGCTCAGAGGAGCAGAACATCCAGGAGGGTCCTCGACAACCTGACGAGGTGGACTTACCCCSCAACATGGTGAGTGTGGAGATGGACTCTGGTTCCATGGAGACTGAGGAGGGAGGCGGTCCAATCACGATGAGGGCTGCAAYGTTCAACGTTGATGACGTCTCAGAGCGCAGCCAGCCCAAACCTGAACGTTGCAACAAAAGAATGAGGAAACTGGCCGAGAACTTCTACTGCTGAGACCAGAGACCGGTGTCCCACTGGACCAGAGACACAACCGACCCAGAACTTGGGCCGTCAGCGCCACCTTGAGGTCYTCAAAAGAACAACATTTTTTAACTTTGGGCCTCAGAGGGCCGTGGGATCACATTGCTTTTGAATAAGGTGCAATACACTTTCTCACCACTAGTAGCAGTAGTGCACCACTCAGATGTTTAACAACTTTTAATATGTAGAAGAAGAACCTTAGAAACCTGCTGAGAAGAGGTACACTTCGCTGCAGCATGCAGAACGGGGCGGTGACAGACCTTTCCGTCAGTCCCATACCTTATATGGAAATGGTACTATTGCATTCCGGAAATGAAGGTTGATCCTTAAAGACGCGGGATTAAGAGAGCAAAGGAAGAAGAAAACCCTAACCCTAACCCTAACCGTTACTGTAATATAATTTAATATCCAAAAACAACAAAGATTTAATAAAGATTTGAAAATGAAAAAGGGACATACCACGTGACATAACACGTAGTGTAGCCATTTCCTTATTGTAAATTTTGTATTGTTAATGTTGATAGTGTTCGATAGAAAATAGTGTCAGTAGTGCCCCCTTCATGTCCGGAATGCAATAGTCCCATTTCCATATAAGGTATGGGACTGACACCGCCCCGTTCTGCATGCTGCAGCCAAGTGTACTTGGCTGAGAATGGAAACTTATTTTAAATTAAAAGTAGAAACAAAAATGAAAGTAACTCATCAAAAAACACCAAAGTTTGTCACTAATATGAAGAGCAGCTTCTGGTTTTACCATGTAATATTTTAAAAGTTCAAAACATTATTAAACACATCTGCAGATACAACTATATTTTAATTTGCACTTGTATTTTGTATTTTAAAGAAATTTTCAACTTGTCACAAAGCTGTTGTTACTTATTGTTTGTCACTAATATGAAGAGCAGCTTCTGGTTGTAAAAGTTTAAAAAGGCTACATTTTCATTTGTACTTTATTAAATTTATTTTACATTTTTTTAATTTGAAACATTAACATTAAACATTTTTAATTTATTTATTTTATGCCCACAATTTTGTTTTTTGAATTGTCTATTTTTTGTTATTGTTTAAGTTAAAAATATATATGTTTTGGTGCTGATAAACCTGAGTGGTCTGTTGACTGACCTTTGTATTTGTTCAAATAATAGTTATGGGCAGGTTACAATATAAAATGTTTGTTATAATTGTGACAACGGTGATTATTTGACAGGAGTTTTACTTTTATACTTTAACTGTATTTAATTTAGTTATGATGTAAATACAATAAAAATTAAACCAAGATTTATAATAATTATCTTTTTGATCCGTTGTAAATGTCTGACTGGACCTTGTGACACTTCATGTTCAAACATTGGACCCTGAGGTCAGAAAGGTGAAGAMCCTCTGWTCTAGAACGTTCTGGTCTGACCGACAGTCTGAGGACAGAGACAATCTGGGGACAAGGCGTTCAACGTGTTAATGGGTCATCTGTGACCTTTGACCTCCACAGGGACCGTCTCTGACCCGTCAGGGGTCCAGTTGGACCAGCTTCCAGCTCAGACAGAACCTGTAACTGAAGGAAGAAACATGAACCTGTGATGGTTTCAGTCCAAACAGAACCACTTCCTGTTTGAACAGAAATAATCTGGATTATTTGTTTACATTTGGTTCTAACCTTCAGCCCGGTTTGTGCTTCGGGTCAGAACCCTCCTCCTCTTCACCTGAGAAGCATTAAAGCTGCAGAACTTTTTACAGCGACCCGTCAGTTCTCAGCTTGTTCCTCTAAACGCTAAAATAATTTTTATTCAGTTTTGAACCAGTTCTGTTGGACTTCCTGGTTCTGGTTCTACTTTGTCTTTTTAATGTTTTATTTTTATTGTAAAGCTCTTAAAGTCAGATTTTATTTGTAAAAAATAAAGATTATTTAAAGTTTTTTGATTTTTCTTTTAAATAAAGCTAAAAAGTGGCTAAAGTTAGAAAATTAGAACATTAGCTGGATGCTAAAAGTAGCTAAAGGCTGGATAGAAGCAGCAAAATGATGGCTAAAGCCTTAAAGTAGCATAAAGTTACCTAAACACTAGTAAGAAGCTAGCTATCAGCTAAAAGTAGCAATAATACCTAGCTGCAGCTTGCAGTACCCGATAGCCGTAGACCCTTCTCAAAAGTAGCATAAATCTAGCTAAAAGCTAACTGTAACAAAAGGCTAGCTAAAAGCTAACTGTAACAAAAGGCTAGCTAAAAGTAGCATAAAGCTAGCTAAAAGCTAACTGTAAGAAAAGGTTAGCTAAAAGTAGCATAAAGCTAGCTAAAAGCTAACTGTAAGAAAAGGTTAGCTAAAAGTAGCATAAAGCTAGCTAAAAGCTAACTGTAAGTAAAGGTTAGCTAAAAGTAGCAGAAGGCCGGTTGTTAGAAGTAAAGAGCTGAACATTTTGAAGTATTTTTACAGTTYGTCTCCTGACAGGTGAAATAAAAACACAGACTTGAGTGGGAAACATAGTAAAATGTATTTACACGGTTCTGAAAGTTCTGAAACACAAAACAAAGATCTTTAAAGGATCATGGACCTTCAGAACCAGGTGAACATCACAAACAAAAACCACTAAATAAAAGTTTCATTTAGAAGAAGAGGCTCCAGCTTCACAACAAACGGTTTCCTGGATGAGATCGATGTGATGCAGGACGGGTCAGAACCCAYCAGAACTCATCGGATCAAAGACAGAATCAAGTTTCTGCACAAAGAAACACTTCCTGTGTTTAAAGTTAAAGAAAGTTTGATTTAGAGCTGCAGAAACAAGAGAAATTACATTTTTACATCAAACTGAAGTAAACTCAGAAACACCGGTTCTGGACCAGAACCATCAGGACCTGATGATTGGTTCTGGTCCACAGTTTCAGTCTAAATGTTCCAGATGTTTGGACCAGTCCTGGTCCAATCAGAACCACAACCAAGATGTTTACAGTCTTATATGTAAAGCAGTCCCAGTGAAGAGCCTATTGGCTCAACGAGCTGTCAATCAAAGACTAAATGATGCTGATTGGCTGCAGCAATGAGACTGACTCAAGATTTAGTTTTTTACCCTGAAACTGGGTCTGAACTGGTTTCTGGACCATTTCAGTTGAGATAATCAGGATCAGAGGATCAGCAGGAGGGTTTAGAAGGGTGTGGTTCTGACTGGACTGGCTCAGAGGTTCAGAGTGGACCTGTTCCTCTGTGATTGTCACCTGACAGGACCAAAACAACAGAAAACCAGAAGAGATCTGAAGAGGAACCACATCTGGGTCTTTGGTTTCAGATCACAGTGCAGACAGAGCAGTCCATCAAAAACATGCAGGTGGATGAAAGTTTATAAAAATAAAAATAACACTTTGGATCCACGCCAGCAGAACAACGGAGGGTTAAAGGCAYGGTATAAATACACACAAACAACAACAAATAAACATTCGTGACGGTGGAGCAGGACCTCGTCCAGCTCAGAAACGTTCAGTCCMGTTTTCACACATCTGTCCAGATGTTCAGTTTTCTCCTCCTGGTTCTGACGCCAACAGAACTGAACCGGGCCCAGAACAAACATGACTCATCGTTTCTCTGACCTTTGAATGAAATGTTTGATTTGAGATGGAAACATGGAGTTTCAGGATTAAAGACGTCAGAACCACGAGTCCAAACTCAAGAGTTAGTTTTAACAGATCAGGATTTCCCAACATTAGAGAATTTTTAACATTTTTTATGTGAGTTTATATTACTGTTTTTCCTGTTTTTTCAAAATAAGAGTCAGAAAACTTTAATGAACGGTTTAAACTCTCTAAAACTAAAAGATTTCTTGTCTCCTTTAAGAAAGGAGTGTGTGTGTGTGTGTGTGTGTGTGTGTGTGAGGTCAGAGCAGATGACTGATCACCTGATGTCTTCCACAGAAAGAACCAAAGGAACACGGTCTCATGAGACGTCTCATCACAGGACACGTCTCCTGTGATGAGACGTCTCCAGTGATGAGACGTCTTTAATATCTGTCCGTCTGGTCTGTTCCGGTCCAGGTGGACAGATGAGGTCACTCAGAGAATCCGGAGGAGAAAATCAGAGGTGATGGTCGCCGTCTGCAGCGGCGCTGAGCTTAGCTGCCGTAGAGTGAGAGTTCGATCTAGGCTCCGCCCCCCTGTGACAGCGGACAGGTGAGCGAGTGCAGGTCACTCCACGAGTCCGTTTCCCTTTAGTGTCCCACACCCAGAGGACAGAACCTTTACAGGAAGTCCAGCTCCAGAGCCTGATGGAGGGACACCAGGTCTCCGTGGGTCGAGATCCTCCAGAAAGGCATGTTGTGCTGCGAGGAGGAGGAGCAGGAGGAGGAGGAGGAGGAGGAGGAGGAGCAGGAGCAGGAGACATGTTTAAAACAGACAAAGAAGAACAGAGTTCAGTTTGTCCTGAAGTTTCAGACACAATGACATCTATCACTGGACTGGGCGTCACGTGACCTGGGCGTGGCTTCACATTGAGCTAATGCTAACGCTAACCATTGAAATCAATGAGCAGAACGTAGCGCGGTGCAAACAAACACTTTATAAATGTACAAATACTACAAATACTTTGCTATAAACTACATAGATTGTTCCATGTTTACAAGAGATAAAAGGGTTATGTTTCACAGGAAAATATTAAACATATTTAACCAAAATTTATTATTTTAATCATAAAACCTGTTTGCTAACATTAAAACGCTTCAATATTCATGTTTAACATTATTTAAAAT